TATATATATATATATATATATATATAATGTTATTTTTTATTATATGGATATGCATTTTATTTGTAATTTATAGTAATTTTTTGTTTAATATTTGAATATCGATTTTTTTATTCTAATATCGAATTAATGTAACTTACTTTAATTTTAAAAATTAGTCAATTTACTTTAAAAATTACAACAAAATAATAAAAAATGGGCCTAAGGGAGTAATTTCTTGTCACATTGTTATCACTTCATCATCTTTATATATATATATATATTGTGTAGGTGGAATATCATAAAATAAGAGTAATATGTAGAATAATTCTCATAAATTTGAGCCTTATGTTTCTCAAAATATATAATTGTTCACTTGAATATTTATTTAATGTATTAGAATATATTGTACTTTTTATAAAATTTTATATTTCTTGATTCGAAATACATATAAATAAAAAAAAAACTAGAAAGTAAAAATAATGGGACATGTCTTTGTTCCTTCCCGCACCCCTCCCTTCTACCCCAATTTCACCACTTGAAGTGAAAACAATAAAAATATTTCCCTGGATAGTAATTATGAGACCAAAAATGTAACTGCAATTAACAAGAATAACTTCATTTTTCTTCAAGGTGAGGCTTGCTTTCTGAATGAATTCCGCTGCGCCCCTCAAAAGAGCTAAGAGCTGAGAAAGGGAATACCAATAGAGTGGGAGAAGATATTCAACAGCGACGACTCTCCGGCGGAGCTGGTGATTAACTCCGCCTTACCACGGCTGCCTGCTGAAAAACAGTAATCGATCACCATGGACGGAGAAGAGCTCAAAGAAGGACTTTCGAACTTATCAGATACAGAATTGACCGACAAAATTGCTAGGCTAAAAAAATCTCTCTTTAGCAACATTGGTGTTAGGCTACCCGATGGAGGTGAAAAGCTTAGGGCAAATATCAAACTGCATGAGGATGAATTAGAATGGAGGAAACGGGTAGGTTCCAATCAGGTTTGACTTTGAATTTTGTTCATTTCCTCTTTGTTTATTACTGTTTAATTTTGCAGTTCCATTTCTAGCATTGTGTGCTTGTAGGTATTTACTTGCTCGTGCATTCAGTGCATGTTGTGAAATTCTAGTCAGAATAACTTGCTAAAATACTATTATAGACTAACTTCTGATTTATCCTATGCTTTACAGTCAGCTGTACAAGAGAATAACTATTAAATTGCAGTGTGTAGCATCTGCATTATGGCCAATTTGACTAAAAAAACACAAAGCATGTAGCATCTTTTTGCATTTCAGAGAAGTATGAAGTATTAGTAGTGAGTTTCTGAACTATGTAGAGTGCCGTTTACTGCAAAATGTAGGTTTTTATGGATTAAAAACTTTCTCTATTACTATGAGCTAGGGTGGAAAGTTATGCATAGTTATTTAAAATTTTGCTAGAGAAGGCAGATGATTGTCATATTTTTCCTGGTTAATGTACTTATCTGTGGTATAGTAAGCAACATAGTTATTAGACTCATTACAGAAAATGACTGAGCAGATCAACCAGTTAAGGAAACACCTTGCCAGAAATTTTCAAGCTAAGGATCTAGATCAATTAAACAATCTCCTTGGCATTGACATCACCTAGTCAAGCATGGTGTATTATTATTTTACATACGGAGCATGTGTTTGATATTCTTAAAGAAACCAATATGATGGGCAGAGCTGGTCCCATGGATTTAAATTTATGTTGTTACCAGATTAGGAGGATACATGTTAGATCCTACAGGATATTGAAGGCCGATTGGGAAATTAAGCTATCTCACTCTTCTTAGCCTAGACATTTTTTTTGCTATAGATGTAGTTAGTATATTCATGCAATCTTCATGTGAGATGCCTTCTACGGATTTTAAGATAGATAAAGACCATATCAAGGATCGTAGTATGAAGGCGATAATGAAAAAAGAAACACTCAATAATATAGGATACTTAAATGCAGGTTAAACCAGTTCACTAATTGCTTGATGATCTATATCTGGACACTTGTATCATTGCAAAATGAGAAACATAACATTGTGACTATCTATTACAGAAGCTGAATATTGACTCGCAGCAACAACAACTTGTGAGTTCATGTGGTTGAAGTAATTACTTGAAGAATTGAAGTTTACAGTCATATGAAAGAAAGTTATGTTTTTATAATTAAGAAGCATTGCACATAATTCAGTTTTTCTCGAAAAACTAAGCATATAGAAATAGATTGCCACTTTTAACAAGTTCCGTCCATATGGTTTTTTTGCTCCATCTTAAGGGAATCTTGAATATTAATGCTGATGAGAACAATGAAATCCAGAAGTTAAGCTTATTCAATGATACCAAGTTGTGAAAGTAGCAAATCAACCTTGGGGAACCTATCTAATACAAGAATATACAGACATACACAAAAAGGAAAGATCGCTTCAGCTTCTTAACACACTCCTCTTTACATTGAAAATATTGTGTTGAAGCGAAAACTTGTTCTACGTAAGACACCTGTATCATATGGAGCAAGCTTAATATATAATTTTTTTGTGGTTAAGAACAAAATTATATTGGTACCAAAGTAATCTGTACAAGCCAAATAGGAGTTGACCTCCTACTTCTCAAAGAAAATTTGCAGCTATAGGACAACTGTTCTGAAAGACTAGGCTATTACAACTAAAGATACTGTACTTCATCGATAAGTCAAACAAAAAAAATTGCTCTATTACACGAACGAACAATACTCCTATGGAAGCTAACCATCGAAGCATTCTGGCCAAAAAGTTACTAGTACATTGTCACAGAATACACACTCCATTGGCACATGAACCCCAAACTTAAGCAATCTATCTACTGTGGATAATCTTCTCCAAACGATCGACAGAATTCATGTTTAGGATGAATATTTTGCTAAAGAACACTACCTTACCTTCTGATATTGTGGCATGAGCCGAGTGTAGAGTTTCTTAATTCAGAATCTACCTCCCACCACCATAGATTGGAGTGTAGTTAAAAGTTCCCGATAACATCAAGTAGCCTGCATAATGTATTTTTGGAATCCAGGATCTTCTCAACTACCCAAGTTGTATTACCTGGGATAGTATGATTCTTCTGGTTCTCCCTTTTCAAATAATACTCACACACCCACTTGAACCACAGACCATATTTGTTTCAGATAGTAGCATTGTTCCACAAGGAAAGATTCAGGATGTTGAGCCCCTCCTGCAGCTCTTGGGTAGCAAATCATGCCCCAAGAAACAAGTGCTTTCCTTGACAGAGTTGCTGCCCCTGTCCACAGAATGAATCTGCAGATCCCCTCTATAAGTTTCAATACCTTCTTAGGTAATACAAATATTTGTGCCTTGTAGATTTGAATACCAAAGACCACTGACTTAATTTATTGAACACTTCCTGCATATGACAATAACTTTCCTGAACAACGCCTAATCTTTTTTGTGATCTTATCTACTAGTGACATATATTGCCAATTGTGAGCCTTTTGAAGTATGGGGAGACACAGACACCCAAGTACTTGAAGGGAATTTTCCCTGCATATAGACAAAAATAGATAAGATTTCCTGCTTAACTGCTTGATTCACACCACTCATATAGATTGAGCTTTTGTCTGGATTAGCCTGAAGTCCTGAGGCATCTGAGAACCTTTGAAAAGAACTTTGAAACAGTAGGAGAGCTGACAAAGCCATCAGAAAAGTCTGGGAGATGGTTCCTGCAGTCATTTTTTGGGTTATTTGGAATGAGAGAAACCACTGGTGTTTTAGTCGGATTTCAACTCCTCTTCATGCTCTAAAAGCTAAATATTATTTTTTTTCTGTTCAGTTGGAGCTTTTCCTCCCCTGTTAGCATTGAGTCATTGACAATTTCCTGGACTTCGTTGGCTCCATGTTTATTATGTAGTCTAACTTAGTTTCTACTTCCAAAGCTTACTAGCTTTTGTTTTTGGCCCAAAAGCTCTCAAAGCTTCTACTTTGTAATATGGAACCATCCAGATGCCTTATGCCAGTGAGAACTTCTTACTTCATATAAGAAAAATGCAGTCTTCCAATAATCCTCCTGCTCTTTCAGATTTTCCTCTTCATAAATAGTTGTTTTTCTAGGACCAATCCAAATTCTGAGATGCTGCATTTCAACTCTTCCTTGGATTGCAGACCCTAGCACCATAGTAAGATGGCAAAACACTCTTTACTGAAACCCATTACATCTATGTTTCATAATGGGATTTGCATGAGTCTTGACATTAAATTCTGCATTTTTGTTTTTCCACAATCATGCTGTTTTAGTTCAATAGTATAGGTGGTTTCTGGATTTGATTTATAATGATAATGACATTCTCAGTTATTCCACAGTCCACCTTCGAAAGAATATGTTTTATCCTCTTCAATGATGATATAATTGAGCATCCTTGCTACTTCTGTGTTGACACCAAGTTGATGGGTGCGTGAGGCATGACTTTTGTCCTGTTGATAAGGTCAATACTTCCGGTTTCTTTGTGTGTGTTGGGACTAGGGGTGGCAGAATGGGTAATATATATGGGTATCCACTCATATTTACCCATTTTAAGTGGGTCAGGTACCCAACATATTTAAAAGGGGTAAACGAATAATACTCATATTATCCATTTAAAAGGGGTAGGTAAATGGGTAAAAGATGTTCATTCATTAAAGAAAGAAAACTGGGGTGGTAAAAAACTTTTTGAAAAATATTTTTTATATTATATCATTTATTCATTTAAAATTATTTCTCCACCACTGAAGAATTTTAAGGATAATGATTTGTTTCTTTTCTTTTGATTTAGCTTCATACAATATTTGTTTTTTTTTTCTTCGAAAAAGTTTTTCTTCTATATGCTGCCGTTTGGTCATAAATTTTTTAATATTCTTGGCAAATATTATTTGGTTGAAATTTAACCATGTGTTTGGTAATAATATTTGAGAAATTTAGAATTTTTTTTTTTTGATTTGGGGTGTGTGGGGTGGGGAGGGATGAAAGAAACTTTAATTGTTTCTTTAATTAAAAAACAACTAATATTTTTTTTAGGGAAACGACATAAATTCCCCCCGGACTTGTTCCGAAAAGTCAGTTACACGCTTAAAGTATCATGATGAGATATATTACACACTCAATCTTGTTTAAAGTGAAATTAGCCCCCTTCCGAAGACAATATCAGTTTTTGTGTGAAAATTTGTTATACACGCGTTTTGACACGTTATTTTAATTTTTTGAAACCATTTTTGCTTAATATTGCTTAAACTAAACTGCATGTTACTTTTAGTCTTTTGGTGTAATCAGTTATACTCTAATAACATTGTCTCTATTATTGATGTGTTAGACTCAATTTAGATGTAGAGAAGTGAAATCAGGAGTACACTTGTATATAAGGTTATAGTACGACCATTGTACTGTTTTGTGATACAATACAAAGTTACCAAGTTCAAAAAAAAAAAGTAGAAACCTAGGCTTTCTTCCTCCTCTCACGGTCACACCTTCTACCTCTTTCTTCTTAAAATCCATTTCTTCTTTCTTCTTCACTATTCATAAATTGAAGGAAAACAAGAAATTTGAAGAGAGAACATGAGACAATAAAACAATTATGAAGGTTAGTGATGTTGGCGTTGGCTATAGGCGTGGGCAACACCATTGTTGCCGGTAAAACAAATAAAAACTTTCAGATCTGTATAAGTTCTTTTAAAATCTTGATAAGTATGGATGAAATCAAGCATTTATTAGTATTCTTTGTGTGTAAAATCAAATACGCTATTGATGTCTTGTGACAAAAACAACATTGTGATGGTTGTAGGTGGTGCTCCGTCTAAAGAAGACAAAGATAGAAAATTATTTTCTTCGATGGATCTTTGAAAAATGTAGGCAATGTAATCATGAATTTTATGCATAAATGTCATAGGATTTTCAATAGAAGTATTTTCTTCCTCATAATTTTTTTCGGTGTTCTTCTCTAGTGAATCCTCCCGCGAGTTCAAATAAAAACATGAACTTTAAGTTAAAATTATTAACTTTCCAGTGGAAATTAACATCCTCCTCACTATTTTTTACTTCTTTTTAGAGTTCCTTCTTATGATATTGTGATGAATATTTTAAGAAATCATCAATGGTGACAGAATTCGTGTAAAGAACTTAAAAAAAAAAGAAAATTAAAAATGTAAAAGCTTTAAAGAAATTGGGGTCACCAATATAATGAATTTTTTTTTTTAAAAAAAATGACATAATAAATATATTACATATTATAATACTTAATATATAATGATCAATAAAATTGTGCCACGGTTTTAAACTTGTCATTTAACATAGATTTTCTTCTCACACACCTTAAGGAAGGTGAAGATTTTGTTTTTAAAGCTTTTAACAAGATGCCTATTATAATATGGGTATCCGTATTTACCCATATTATCCATTGAATAACTCATTTTTACTCATTTAAAATATGAGTGGAGTCTAGTATTTTATCCATTTTTCTTTAACTCGTTTTTGATCGACTCATATGCAACTCGATCCACTCATTTGCCACTCCTAGTTGGGACTATGTTAAGTTTTTCTGATATCTTTACTCAACAAGTTTTCAGATATTTTAGTTAAGGGAAGTTCCTTTGGGGAAAATGGGAGTACAGAGGCAATGAATCTTCAGAGTTCCTGAGAGGTGAACAAACGCAATCAATTGGGGAGAGGAGATAAGACAGGGTATGACACAACTTCAGGTTACCGATGACATGGCTTAGATAGGAGGGTGTGGAGGACATGTAGTAGGGTAGAAAGTTAGTAGGTAGAGTAGTATTGTCTTGCTTAGGGTGGGTGTTTACCATTGCACTAGTTGTACTATTGTAGTTCTTGTTTTATATCTATCATTGTTTATTATTCTTTTCAATAATCTATCCTAGTATGTTGTTTATTGTGTGTTGATTGTCGCACTATTTTGTTGTTGTTTTTGCTTCCTTCTGGTAGACTTTGCACTGTTTCCTTGTTACTTGCTATATTTTCTTCAGTGTCTCCTTCTTTGTATTTGGATTTACTGCACTCATTGCTGTTTTATTAAGTTTTCGTCTTAATTCTACTACTCTATAGGAGCTTTTCTCTATCTTGATTTCCATGCTTCCATGTAGTTCTGAAACTGATGCATGAATAAAGAGCACACATTCTGCCTATGCCTAGTGTGTCTAGCCTACTTCTCATCTTGAAGAGATTTATAGTTCACTCTAGGTATTTTGCGAGTTTCTTCTTACAAACAGGAGTAACTTTGGATTTGGTGTGCATGTGCATGTACACGGGTAACTATGTGGGAATCAGAACTGAGTCTTATTTGTCATTTTAATTTGCTTTACTTATGTAATTAGTTCTAGAAGGAGAGGCTGGAAGTTTGATAATTTTATAGGTGCACCTTATAACTTCGAGGCACAGGCTTCACCATCTGTGTTCTCTTCACAGTCCACCTTTGGTGTTTGGTTTTTGAACAAGTTGGAAGCAGTACAGCTTCATTCCTAAATTCATTTCTCTTCCTCTTGAAGTTAACCATTAATTTTTGTTACTTTTGCTTATTGAATTGCAGGCAGTGTCTAAGCCAGCCAATGCTTTCCAAGAAGAACTATATGCTCTGAATCCATGTGACCACAAAAGTACATTAAACAACCAGTTTTCACATAGAAAAAGACACAAGCGAGAGTTATTGTCACAGGAAGAACCTTATAAGTCTCCTGTAGACAAAGGTGAACAAGTTCTGAATGTTGATCTAAAAGGATGGGATTCTTCTACTCGTTCTAAAGAAAATAAGGCCAGCTGTTTCTCAGAGAAGTAGGTGTTTTGTTTTTTTGGGTTCTTCTATTCCCCTAACTTCTTAGATAATTTTTCTGCTCTGACACTTTATTGTTGCTGTTATTATTTTGGTTATTACTGGAAGCTGTCACTCATTATGAATTTGTTTTTTGAGATGAGATAACTCATTAGGAATTAGTGTATTTGCATAAGATTCAATGTGAAAGATGGGGTCCACTAATTTTTTGTTTAGATCAACAGGAGTGTCAAAGCTGCTCCTGTTTATTCAGAGATCTAAATTCAAAAAGAAAAAAAAAACTGCTCATGTTTGTGCTTTATAAGTTCTGTACTGCTGAAAAGAACTAAAATCATTTTTTAATAATACTCCACATTTCAAACAAAAAGTTGAGATTTCCACTTTGAGCCATCTGAAAACTATGTCAACCTTCCTGAAATAGAATACTTTGTCACAGACTCCATTGTATTTTTCAAATGCGACTTTTTCTCAAAAGTTTATGTACTGCTGTAAAATATGTTGAAGAGTTTTGACAAAGTATTCTATTTCAGGAAGTTGGACAATGTTTTCAGATGGCCCAGAGTTGAAATCTCAACTTTCTGTTTGAAATATGGAGTATTAAATATAACATGGCTTCTTTTCAGCAGTTGTATTTTGCTGACTTGCTGTAGAGTAACATGCACAAGAGTGTAGGGGTGTAAAAATGGTTTAATATCTCTCTTAGAACAATGTTCATTTCTATGATTATGTAATTGCACAGTAGCTGCCTCAATATGATCTCTGTAGTTCGTATCCTGCAACTATCCTTGTATACTTCAATTACACTCCGTTTGCTGCAAGTAGTTTCAATAGAACTATAATTTCTAAGTTGGTAGTTATAAATATAAACTGGAGCACAAATGCATTTACTTTGCAACGCAAAGCATCAGGTCCTTTAGAATTTATGGCCAAGCAATGAGAAATAGGAAATTCCTGCAGTCTAATCTTTGATAAGCCAGACCTTTTTCTATACTGAGATTTCTTAGTCAGTTTCGTTCAGAAATCTTTGTGGATGATACCTTATCTTTGATCTCCCTACCCTTTCCTGTACTAATGTTCCTTATTCAGTTTCATTCAACTATCTTTTTGGATAATAGTCCTTTCTACTTTACTGCACAAAATAGTCTCTAGTTTGATCTGTAGAACATGTTCATTTCTAAAATGTTATTACTAGAGAATAGAGCTAAGCAACCAATGTCCCAAAATTAGAGTGATCTTTTTTTCTTTAAGTAAGATAACGGTATATTAATGTCAGCACAAAGGATGTCCTTAAACCATATTTACAATTCAAAAGGCAGATCTGTGTCCCTGTTCTAATTCACAGGGAGTCCATAATCTAGGAAAGATTCTGCATCTTTTAATACACCAAAAATAAAACGAAAAGTAAAATTCATCTCAATTTTCAAATCATTTTGTATTTCTCTCCTTCCATATAGTCCACCAAATGCATGCTGGAACCATGTTCCACCACTTCTTCTGATTCATGCTACCACAATTGTTGTTCCAACACTTTAAGAGATAACATGTAGACTCTGGCATGACCCACCTGATCCCAACTATGTTAAGAAACAGCTACAAAAACTGATCTGTCTCACGGGCATGCAAAAAAGGTGGTTGATACTCTCAGATTCAGCTCTACATAAAAAGCGCCTGAGCACAGTTGGAAACCCCTTCTATTCAAATTTTCCCGAGTTGAACATACCTCTTTTGCCACCAGATACAAAAAGCAAGTCACCTTGTATGGGATCTTTACTTTTCAGATGAATTACGAAGGCCTATAAAATCCTTGTAGTCCAGTATATGGAAGTAGCAAATAAGCAGAATTGCCAGTCAAGCAACCCTTACTGTTCCCTTTCTCAAACCACTTGGTCTTCATTGCTTCTAAGACCTTGAAAAGGCTCCCAAACTTTGAAAAATTCAGCAATGCTTTGAACCTCAGTCATTCAAAAATCTTCTAAAGTTGAGGTTACATTAGTGCTGTCTCCATACTTCCTCAATCTTTGCCTTAGGTGAAAGAATTCAATTACAAACATCTGGAAACTAATCTTTTGAATGGTCCATGTCCAGTGTTTTGAAGAGTGTGAAGCGGAAAAAAGCGACAAGGCCCTGAAGCGCTCGCTTCAATACAATTTGAAAGTACAAAAGACCAAAATAAAAAGAGAATATTTGTAAGCAGAATTTCAAATTAAAAACTAAAAAATAGACATCACAAAATCCTCCATAGACCATAGGACATACAAAATCAAAGCTATTAATGGTTCAAGTTTCAACATTTAGTTCCTATTCTTCTAAAATTCTACTTCTACAAGATTGTCTAAATCCTATATTCCTCCGTTGTTTTTCTATCGCTAATTATCTTCTTCAACTCCATCATCATATTCTTCAATTCCATGAATTAGGGATAGACTTGTAGCTACTTCTTCTCTTCATGTGTAAGCTTGAAGTATTCCCCCTTAAACCATAATGGTTCTCCTCAACTCCACTTGCCTCCGCAGCAACATCCCAAGTGAAATCAGAATCTCCCAAAAAAATTGTTTCTTCTTCATGATTCTCAGGGACTCCGGTTAGCCATTCATTAGCATCATTAATATTTTCTAAAAGAATTGGATCAACTACAATTGCGAGCATTGTAATGGCGCTTCAATATTTTATTGTATTAATTGAACACCAGGTCATTGGGGCGATTTAAGGGTTAATCTGTTCCTCTACTTGGTATGATTCTGCAGAAGTAATTATTAGGAGATAAGACAATTGAGATATAGTTTAGTTATATCAGTATAATACATCTTTCTGCATAGTTCTCACATGTTCAAACATGCCATAGTTCTTCTCACATTTCGGTTGAGCTACTAGTTAGACTTGGAACTTTGATGGTGATATTTTGTAATTTTGAGATTCTCAACCATAAAGCTTCCACAATTTAAATATTGAAGTAGAACAAATATTTAAAAATTATTAAGTTGAAAAAATAACTTAGCACTTGCTCACCAGATCCACTATTGTATCTTGCTCATCTTTATTGGCGCCCAACTTACCAACACAATCATGGAATCCTTTCCACACTTTTTTACCTAGTAAATCCATCTCATAGTTATCATAAAAGAGTGATGGGTTCAAAGTATTCCCAACTTCATGCAAATGTGAATGAGTTGATCTTCCCACCGTCTACCAATTATCTCAAAGGCCTTGGCATATTTATGCTCATAAAAGTCGCTTGAATAGCCTCTTAGCTGTATACACAACTCCATAAAGGTAGCCCATTGGTGGGTTTTTTCCCCCCATCCACCAACTGAAGTACTTTAATCAAGGGACCGCTGATTTTAAGAGCATGAACAATATTGTTCCAAGAGGTATAAGAAAAATTCATGCATGCAACTTCTACCCCCTACCTCCTTTTGCAAATTACTTGTGTTCCATCTTTTTTTTAAAATGAAGAAGTGTCTAAATTGGCCTTTTGCATGTGCATACTATGCAAGGTCAAGAAAGCAGTAGCAAATCTAGTCTTGCCAAGTTTCACTAATTTTTTTGTGATTCTCATCATCATATTTCAATAACAAAAGCTTTTGAACAATGTAATAATCTACCGTTACTGCCTAAGTGAAAACTGTAGTGAAGGGTCTTTTCTTGAAAACATTCCTGAACATCAAATTTATGCAATGAGCTGCTCATGGAGTCCAATAAATGTGCGGGAACACTCCCATTAACATATCGCCGGCGTTAGCATTTTGACTTGCATTATTTGTAACAACTTGAACAACATCCTTTTCTCCAGTCCTTTTTGTTGTGTTTCGAAACAAGGAGAACATTTTGATGGAATATGTAGACAAGTCACTCGCATGAGTGGATTCAAGAAATAAGCTTCCTTTTGGAGAATTCACCAACACATTGTCATTTTACCAATTCTTGCCATCCACTTAGCCCATCATAATGGAATATCCAAACTTGTTCCATTCTATCCTATGTTCCTCCAGAATTTGTCTCCTCCACTTCTTTAATTAGATAAGGACCTCTTACTTCATGATAGGGGGGGGGGGGGAAGGGGGGGGGAGGGGGGGGGTCATTCCTGAACCAAATTGGCCTACGACCTCAATAAACGCTCCAAAAGTGTCCTTACAGTTGACACAAGTGAATGTGATCCCTGCATTGTGCACCCACCATAAAAAACTCGCAACTGCATGATCCCTCAAAATATCCTTGGCAACATCATGAATTTTTTTTTTATCGTTTTTCCCTGCATTATCTCCTGGCTTCTGCGAAAAGTAACTATCTAAAGGACCTTTCCTACATGTTGATCCACAACCTGAAGCCCCTTTTTTGTGATTTTGCAATAAGTGACAAATCAATAGCTTCATCTTCTTCCATTTTTTCTTCATCATCCCCATCAAGATTAGTCACATTTAGTTGATGTAAGCATTTGACGTTTTAGCTCCCTTTTTCCTCAACATAGTTTTTGTTTCTTGCTCCACAACCTTCATGCATTTTGTACATCGTGTGTCATCTCTATGAGTACCAATAAGATGTTTGTGGCAAAAAATTCCGCCTTCAAACATCTTGTCATAAAACAGACATATAACTGCAGTCCTATTGGTTTCACTACCTCTTTCCCATATATCCAGTCCGGGTCAGACAAATTTAATCAGGGGTAAGATTTTGGCGAAATAAATAAGCAGCATATAGCATCATTGTTAAGGAAAAAAATTCAGCAATATTTTATTCACGTTTAAGAAAAAAAATCCACAACATAAATTTAATCAACGTTTAGGAAATCTATCACTTGTAAACTTAAAAAAAAAAGGCACGTGACTTAACCTCAACATTCAAAAGGCTCGTTGAAGGGGGTTATTGTTTTTAGATGATTGTGAAAAGGGATTTATGAATTATTTTTAGGGTAAACTATTTGTTTTTTTAATAAGGTAACATGGTGACTCTAACCCACAACCGTAAGGTTGGAGCTGTAGGTACTTTCCAATTCCACTAAGTAAGAGATGTATTTTGTGTCATTTTCAGGGAGGATAGGATTTCTATCCTTCAATCCCATGGGAATGCTGATCGTCCACCCCCATGGGATTGCTTATCGGTTCAATAGACCTGATTGATTGCTTACCTAATCAAATGAACACTAATTTTGAATAGTGTTCATAATTTGAATCCACCAAAAAATGAACCATAATCTGGTTAAGTGATAGAGTAATTGTAACCCCCATTATCCCATCTCTTATCAACCCGAACCCTTTGCTTAGAGAATGTGTACTTTTTCTTGTTTTTGAATGATTCAAAAGGTGCAAGTAGCACAGACTGAGGATAACATGCCAGAAGGTTGCTTTAGATGGTTTAGACATGTTCTAAATTAACTTACAGATGCACTGATATGTAGATATGAAACTATGGTAAGTAAAAGTGTCAAAAGGCGATGAGTAGACCTAAAATCACATGGAAGGAAGTTGTCTCGAAAGACCTATAAATTATTGGTATCAATGCAGACTCAGCCAAAGATAGGGCACAAGGATCCACATAGTTGATCACTACTAATTGATGATAGGTCTAGACTTGTCAAATAACTTCTAATATTATTGTTATTAATATTTATCTTCTTATTTTATTTTGTTTAGCATAATGATGATGATACTAAATGATCTCAAATGAAAGTGAGGATTCATATTTAGCCCAACTTGTTTGGGATTGAGGTGTAGTAATAGTAGTTGTTCTTTTTTTTTTCTCTTGAATTTCTCTTTCGAGTCCAAAGTTACTCAGGATATCATTTCTGTCATGATATTAATTGGATATTCTGAAGAAGCACTTGTGATCTTCAAGCTACATTTAGAATTATTTGTTGTACGTGTTTGCTATATATCCATGAGCCATGAAACTTTGACGTGTTTAATTATTCATTTCTTCTTTTCCTGCCTCTCCTTTGCTGCAATTTGTACCTTTTGGTGTCCTATTATAAATAATCAAACCAACGAAAATGTGAGTGCTACTGATTTGATCTTTTTTTTTGCAGGTTTAAAGCCTCTCAAGCACAATCTTCATATACTCGAAGGCATGCAAATGTAAGGCTTCTTATGTATCTTAGTTATCTTATCCCGGCTAGCTTCCATGTAGGCGTGTAGATATTTTTTGTCAATATGAAAACTTGCATTGGTATTTGGGGAGTTGCTGTTGGTCTTCTGTGACACTAGGAATCCACATTAACAAACTCGGGATAAATGTTTGGGTATATAAGAAAATAAACCCTAAAGCACAGTGACGCGTTTCTAGGCGCAACGTGGATAATACCAGCAGTGGGCTAGGCTATTGTAGATAGTATCCGGGTCACTCTGCGTACAACCTTGAGCGATGGTGGGGCAAATCTCAAAGAGGATGTTGCATACGCAAGGGAAGGTGTATGTGATATTCTAGGAAAATTGAACATTAACAGTATATAAGATAACAAGTCTTAGACTCTTATTGACACATTTTTACAGTTGTGCGGGCCTATACCCAAATTGGTCACTAGTGTACGACATTGTTACAGTTTCAGGTAATACCTTTGGTTGATTATCAATATTCACATGCTAAAGACTACTCAGATGGTTATTCTAGTGCACCACTACCTCTTTCTTTCTCTCCTTCTCTTCCTCCCTTGGGGTGGGAGGTGGTTAGTTACAGTAGGTATACATTGATTGATGAACTTATATATACTTTAACCACAAGCCCCTCCTTTTTTCTGTTGTTCCAATATCCTTTACAAGTTCACTAGGGAATAATGATCAGTAATGTTAAACAGAAGAAACAATAAAAGAGAATTTGACTTGATTATTCCCTCAAGCTATTGAACTTAAATAATTATGTTTACATTTCTTAAAAAAGAAAGAAATCTCTATATTACGATAGGACTAAATCAAGTGATCTAATATATTTTCTTATATATTCTAGAATATTCTTAAGGATTCTAAACTCTCTCTCAAGTTGGTGCATAAAAATCGTGTATACTGCTCTTGCTACACATATTTACTTGTTCTAGGACTGGCTAAGACTTGGTGAATATATTACAAGTTGATCAATTGACTTCACGAAATTTGCGGTGATGTCTCCTCAGAGTATCTTTTCTCCGACTAAATAACAAGTAATATCTATGTGTTTTTCCTCTTGTAAAATGTTGGATTTAATGCAATGTGAAGTGTATCAGTGAAGCCTCATTATCGCACACAAGTTCCATTTCATTATTTTTTCCAAATTTTAACTCCTATTGTTGCTTGATCCATATAAGTTCACATGTAGCCATTGCCATAGCCATAGCCCATTATTCAGCTTCTGCACTCAATTGAGCAACCACATATTTTTTCTTACTTCTCCAAAACACCAAATTTCCTCCAACTAAAACTCAATACACTGAGGTAGATCGTTTGCCAGAGGGTGGCTCTGCTCAATCTGCATTTGTTTATCCAATTCGATTTCATTATTTTTCCAAATTTTAACTCCTATAGTTGCTTGGTCCATATAAGTTCTCACATGTAGCCATTGCCATAGCCCATTATTCAGCTTATTCGCTTAGTTGAGCAACCACATTTTGTTTCTTACTTTCCCGAAACACCAAATTTCCTCCAACTAAAATATAATACCCAGAGGTAGATCGTTTGCCAGAGGGTGTCTCTGCCCGATCTTCAATTGTGTATCCAATGATTTGCTTATGTCCTCAGTCTTTGTAAAGTATTCCTTTTCCTGGAGAATATTTGTGTCTGGAAGATGCGAATGACTGCATTTCAATGGTTGTCACAAGGATAATCAAAGAACTGACTTACAACGCTAACCAGGAAAGCAATGTCAGGTCGAGTTGCAGTGAGATGGTGCAATTTTTCTACCAACCTTCTATATCATCTCGGATCAACAAGATCTGATTGTTGCTCCGTATATACCCAATCTTTGAGACCCCCATGAAGAAAAACATTTGTAATATATATATGGTAGAGAGTCCAATAGCAAGAAGTAAAGAACAACCATATAAAAAGAGAGACGGAGTACAGCAGTCTTAGCCACAGGAGTGAAGGTATCATCATAGTCAAGATGAAAAATCTGTGTAGCCTTTGGCAACCAGTCATGCTCTATCAATCTATCTATCAGTGCCAACCTTCACGGTATATAACTAATGACAACCAATTGGAGACTTACCTAGAGGTAGAGGAACAAGTTCCCCAGTACCACTAGAGTGTTAGGCAAATATCTCCTTGATCATGGCTTGTCGCTTGCCTGGGTGAGAAAAAGGTTTACCTGTAGTCCTACGAGCAGAAATAGATGATAGTGATGATTCAAAAACAAAACGAGCTGGTGACGAACAATGATAATTTCGACAAGTACAGATAGGATTGGGACTCAAATAGAACGAATACCTTTATGAGCGGCAACGGGAGAACTCTTCATAGACAAGTTCGCAGCCACAAGTTGGCAATCTGCAAAGAGTCTGGTGTCTGTTGTGAATTGTCCTGACCAGATGGAGAGTGCAGATGATGATGATAAGTCAAAAGAATCTCTAAGACATTTTGGAGGGACATGATGTATTATTGTAGCCTCTCTTGCTTTATTTATTCTTTCCCCCCTGAATATAGTTCATTCTCTTGGTCCTTGGAAACCATGAACTTCTGCTTCATTCCTATGTGATCTTTCTTGCCATTTGAATATTCATCATTTTCCCAGGGGCAGGCTGTTGTTCTAGTGGATGAGGAGGATCCTGATGCAATTAAAGCGACAGAGCCAGTGGACCAAGTAATTGAACGGTAATATATTAGTAAATCAACATTTTCTCAAAGTTACATACCAACATCTGATCTGAGTGCTAGTGAGCAATTGTTAATAGCTCTTATATTCCTCTATTTCCTGCAGAAAGGCAATCACAATATACTATCCTTCACGGTATGACATGAATCACAACCTTATTGATCCAGTATGCATTACTTATTACCTTGGGGCTTTTTTTGATTGCTTACGATTTCCTTATTGTTTTTGCACTGACATAGGGTTGATCCCGAATCCGTTGAAATTTGTTGTTCGGACATGGAATCTCTAGCACCTGAAGCATATTTGTCATCGACTATAATGAATTTCTACATCCGGTGAGTCAACAAAATATTTCTTCTTATATTTACATTGTTGATTGATGAATAGATAGATTAGACATATATTGGGAAATAGGTTCCTTTGAATTTTCCCCAAGAAAAAGGAAAAATTTTATAAAAGGAAAAGAAGAATGAAACTAAAGAATCTTCAGGTCAGTTCCAAAGAAAATTTTCACCTTCTGAACAAAGAGATTTTTCCCAACTTTCTGTTCCAATTAGAGCAATCTCTAGTCTAATGTGAATTATAGAGCTTAGCTGATTAAATATATGTTGTGTCATGTACATATACAGACACAATCATGCAATAAATATATATGTGTGTGTGTGTGTGTGTGTGTTTATTTTATTTATTTTTTCTGAAATCTTGTGTTTGTATTTGATGGTTACCTCTGTAATATCGTTTTGACTTTTCCCAACATCAGCTATCATTTGGTACTATTGCTAGTTAGCCGCCTAATAAATACCAACTAACTAACTAACAAAATTGCTTATGGACTTTATTTTTAGCAGCTGGTTTGGATAATCTCTTCACTGTCTTTATAGAATGAAATTAACTTCTGGGATGCATGAAGTTGGTCAACACTTGTGTTATATTCTTTCTATCAAATGTATCATTATATTTTAACATTATTGAAGTAGTTGCATGTTATAAATAGATATTTTTGATGTTCTCCGCTTTCCACAACCGTTTCTCTTGTAATTCCGATTACTTCATCCCTTTTTTTAAATATAAATTTCGGAGCCTTTGCTTCAGGGATTATTCCTTCTTACTTTATAGTAGTTATTGTTCCGGTTCCAGAAGTTATAACTCTCCCTTCAACTTTTCTATGAAATGAGAAACTGTTCCAATATCCTAGTAAGATAGGCAAGCGGATGGAGACCTAGACTTGGGCGGTGTTTGGATTGACTTTTTTTAAAGTAGCTTATAAGTTAAAATGCTAAAAGTGGTCAAGGTTCTAAACGTGTTGAGTGTTTCACCTCGCTTTATGCGTGCTTCAGTGTCGTCATCAAGGTTCTAAGGCAAACTTTCCTTGCCAATGAGCCTCTTATGAAGAATGAAACTAAACGATTGATATTTCACTTTCTTTTTTCTCTCTTTACGCCTTTTTTCATTAAAGCCCATTTTTTATTTGCGCTTAAAGCCCCCATGGACCTTAGAGCTTTTTTGCGCTTTTTGCCTTTGATAACACTAATTGCTAGTAGGAGCAAGATGAAATTTGCACCGACTTTCTCTATCTGCTATACCCTAATTGCATTGTTTTGTTGTCAGGTACCTCCAGAAGACAAAACCTCATGCAGATGTCAATGAGTATCACTTTTTCAATACATATTTTTACCAGAAGCTCAAAGAGGCTGTACTGAGCAAGGTATTATCTTCCCTCTGAGATAAAAGAATTTCATCCAATTTTAACTAAGCTCATCTTTTCTAATTTTTCTATTAATAACTATGTTACATGAACTTGGTTACCAAGTATAGATCGACCAGTGGTGTGTGAACAATGGCGTACACATGATCTTTTGTAAGCAAATCGACCTTTGAATAAGTAAAAAAAATTGTTAATTATTGGAAATATTATTCAAATCATATTTATTAAAACAGAACTAATGTAAATTACTACATCTTTCCTAGAAATACACATTGCATGAGTAATTTTTTCTTTCAAGCTTTTTCTTGAACCTGTTCAATATAGCAAATATTATATTGTCCAAGTTAATATGTAAGTTGTATGCTTGGTAGGCTGGTATATTTGTTCATTTCTGATTAAGCTGTTGCTGGATCAGCCCTACAGAAAACCTGTTTTTTAGCAGATATAGGGAGAGTCACTTGATTAGAAACTAAAAAAAAGAAAGGAAAATCTGGCGCTGTACTGATTCGAACTCCAATCACATAGTATTGTAGGAACGCGCTTGGTCATTGATCTAGGAGGATCAATCAGTTAGGTTGAGTCATATTTAATATTTCTATACCTATTCTGTTTAACATATTCTATATAAATCTATAAAATGTGAAATTTTCCGACCATTTTGTATAACGTCCCGCCTGTGTGAAAATATCTACTTTGGGGCGTGTATGTCCTTTGCTAATTTTTAGCGTATTTTTAATAATTCTGTGCAAAGTAGTCATGGCATATAGCCATACACATAGACACGGGTTAGTGAAGACAAATGAAAGTTTACGTGTTATAGATCAATACTGAGCTTGGTAGATGGATCTCAAAAGTACTGAGTCTTGTTTGAAGCTTCTTTTTAATGGGCAAATGTGTCGAAGAGAGCGTTTGTAGGAATTGTTTTGTATCTCTCTTTTTATGGTGTAAAGAGATTGGTTTAGAGGATGCAGAACAGCTCGTAGAATTTTTAGGATCACTGTAAGTATCAGTTTTCTATTTCGTCTTTTGAAGGTCCCCCAGCATCTCCTTAATGCTAAAGAATACAACATTACCCATTTTCCAAATAAAGCATGGAGAAGAGAGCATTGGCCTCGTCTTTATTTATTTATTCTGAAAAAGATTGAATAATTAAGGTAAAATGACCCTGTAAAAGGTACTTAGACTCTTAAACTCTGATTGATGTTGGTGTATTAGTCTTTCTCCAGATATTTGTTGTCTTTATATTATCTTAGTTGAAGTATGCAACCATCTCATCTAAGTGTTCAAACTGTTGGAGAGAGCACTATTTTACATAATTAATTATCTCTCAACGGGCCAAACACGTGGAAATCTTTTGGTAATGTGTGGCAGTGAGACTTGAACCCAATATATCTGCTATTCTGATACGATGTTGAAATGTGTATGACCATCTCATTTAAAAGCTTAAGCTTTAGAGAAAACACACATTTATTTCGTTAATTATGTCTTCATATGCAGTATGGATACTCTGAAAACATAATGTAAAGTTGCAGATGACTATTCCATTTGTACTTGATTTTCTGATGGAATATATGCTGAACAGTCAGGAACTATTTGATACTATCTATATTTCTTTCCTAGTTCTTGCAGTGTATCAATCTTTCGAATATCAGTAAATCTGAATCCAATTCCTAATTCTCTACGCAGAATGAAAAGGAAGCTTCATTTATCAGACTAAGAAGGTGGTGGAAAGGGGTGAATATATTTGAGAAAGCCTATATATTTCTTCCCATACATGAAGAGTAAGTTGTGTGGTTCCTTTTATCATGGTTTGATTTACAAAGATTTAATTCAAGTATGCTGTATTTGGAGATTTTTTATTTGGTTTGTTTGTGTTGAAGAATGGCAAAAGTCCCACATTGATGGTTAATGAGATGGGTGGACTCCTGATAAGGTTTGAGCAATACTCCTGCCTCTGAGCTAGCTTCTGGGTATGAGTTATGCCCAAGACCTAATTTAGCAGTTTGTATTAGTATCTTATAATTCCTATGCATATGATTTAGGATCAATTGGAGTGATTCATTCTTTGTAATCATGTAATTAGATTAATTTCGTTCATTTCATAGGACACGTACTGAACTATTTAACCCCGATTAGTTGAGGGAGCAACATAAGTGAGACTGAGTCAATGCAGTTAGTAAGGAAATAGCAATTCTCGGAGAGAAATCCTGTTGCCGAGCAATGTTTTTGGTAACTTAGCAGTTAGTGCTGTTTGGAGGTTTCTTGGTTCTCCAGGAGTACTATGTATATACCACAGTACCGCCAGCATAATAAGAACCCTTGTGCAACCCCACCCAAGGAATTCAGCTGATGTAGGATTGTTCACTCATCTTCCTGTTCCATTACCTAAATCATATCTCCGATGTGTGGCTAGAAAGAGCAATCGAGGAGGAGGAGATGAAAAAGGCGGTGGGTTGTTTTGCAGGTGATAAAGCATCGGATCTCAATGGTTTCTATTTGGATTTGGAAGACAGTTAAAACTGATGTGATGGATACTATTGTTGAGTTTCATGAAAGAGGGGAATTTGAGAAAACTATGAATGCTTCATCCATTGTCATCATCCCTTAAAGGAAGGAGCTACGAGCATGAAGGACTACAGACTTATTAGTATAGTGGGAAGCATCTATAAGATCATCTTTAAGTTGATTCCTATTAAACTTAAGAAGGTGTTAGATGATACTGTCTCTACTTCGCAGAATGTTTTGTGGAGGGTGGACAAATTCTAGATGTAGCTTTGGTGGGAAACAAAGTAGTGGATTGAAGGAGAAAGCAAGGAGTGGTAGGTGTGTTGTGCAAACTTGATCGTGAAAAGGCCTAGGGTCATGTTAACTGAAAATTCCTAAATTCCATTTTACTTCAAATGGAACTTGAGGAAAATTAAAGGAAATGAGTTTATTTTTGCATCTCTTCAGTGAGATTTCCTGTCAACAATGCTGTTTATTCTAGTTATGGAAGCTTTAAGCAGGATGATGGATATAGCTGTCTTGCGGGGTTACTTGAGGGGCTTTGATTTTGTTGCAGTTAGGGGTGAGGGACAATATAAGTGTCTCACTTAGAGATATGACTTTGTGTTTTGGTTGTGGTTTGTGGAGGAATACCATGAAGGAATGGGATTATGTTTTGGAAAATATCTCAGTCAAGGTCTGAGATGGAAGAAGAGTAAACTATTGGGGGCATAAATGGTATGGAGACATATTATTGAAAGATAAATTTCAGAGATACGGAGTATCGTGCCAAAGAAATACGATAATTTAACATATTAAGGGGACACATGGTGGAGGTTTTTTGGGACTTGAGATTTAGAAGGGAACTTCAGGATTGGGAAGTTGTTGAATCCGGTGATGAACCAGACGATTGGTGGTGGGGCTTAGGGAACACTGGAGTGTTCTCTATGAAGTCCTCCTATGAGAAATCATTGCTTAGAGAGGAGAATGCTTTTCCATGTAATGCAACAAGGATACCAAAGGTGCCAAGGAAGGTGCGTTTTTCACTTGACTAGCTGCAAGAAGGGTGATTTGATAGCAGAAAAACTTAGTAAGCAAAATGTTGTTTGCATCAGTTGGTGTTACCTGTGTAAGAAGACAGGTGAGGATGTGGATATTCTTCTTCTATATTGCGGGCTGACCATGAGTTATGGTGGGAATATGTTTAGATGGTTACATTCAGTGGGCAACGTCAAAAATTGTGAAAGAGTTGATGTTTAGCTGGAGAACCGGAAGCAAAAGAGAAGACGAAGGGCTAGGAATGTGGTTCTGCTTGCGTTAATGCAAAATGTTTGGAGAGAGAAATAGTAGAGGTTTTGAAGGAGTAGAGTCTAGTTTCTCCCAGCTGAGAAGCAGTCTCCGTTCCCTTGTATTTTTTTGGTGCTCACATAAAGTTCCTTGTTGTATAGATGATGGGTTGAGTTTGTAGAGCATAGTATCATTTTGTAGATTCTTTAATCTTTACTTTTTGTTCTTGCATACGGCATTTTGGCCATGTATATAATTGATATATTTGCCCGATAAAAAAAGCAGTTCTCTGTTCCTCAAAGCATCTTACATTTATTTCCTTCCAAATTCAGGGGCCATCTCCATCTACTCGTGCTCTTTGCCATTAATCCTGTTTCCTCCCAACTCTATTGAGCTTCTGTAATCTTCCTGGGCATAATCCAGGATATGCTTTTAAAATTAATGAAAAATCCCCATTCTGTCACCTAGCAATGTGGGAATAGATGGTTAACTGACTATCTTTGCCCTTAACTCCACATAGAAAGAATCAGGAGCACATTGTGATCTTTCTTCTCATTAAATTGTCCTGTGTGAGGACAACTTCCTTTGCCAAAAGCCAAATGCTACTTTGTGTGGAATATTAGTTCTCACCAAATATGCTTCCAACGCAAATTATCAATCTGCTGATTAGACTGGTTCATCAGTCGATGGGCTGCATTCACCTTAAAGCACCAGAGTTGTTACCTTGCCACCTTAATACATCTTTCCCTGCCTGGAACCCACTTAATACATCCTTTCACCTAGCTTACAGGTTTAAGTATGCCTCAAGAAAGCTTTACCAAAACATGATCTGGTTCGCTGGCGTTTCTTCTCCGTCGTCATATAAATTGATTCTCCTAGGTAGGAACTCTGTATCAAGACACTCAGGCTGGTGAAAATCTCATTCTTAAAATCTTCTCAACTTTCCACTCACACGGCTTAAGTCTCCGCTTCACACCTACCAGGTTTCTATCATGGGTGGTTGTACTTGTCAGCAGTCACATCTCAATCTATGTAGGTGCTACATAAGCAGGTCAACCAGCTACCCAACAGTTCATGTACATTGATCCAGTGTTATCAAAGCGCGCTTAAGCCCTGAAACGAGGCTCATAACGTGTTGAGCTCCTCGCCTAACTTTATTTGCGCTTTAGTGTATTTCATCAAAGTTCTAAGAAAAACATTTCCTTGCCAATGAGCCTCTTATGAAAGTGAAGCTAAATAATTGAGATTTCACTTTATTATAAAAAATTTTCAATTTCATTGGTTTATAATTATTAGTCTTGGACTAAACATATATATTTTATTCTTTTATCCCTTTGAACCTTTTTTTTGTAAAAGGCCATGCTTTATTTGCGTTTTGCGCTTAAAGCCCCCACAGACCTTAGAGCTTTTTTGCATTTTTCGCCTTTGATAACACTGCATTGATCAGTTCAGCTGGTAGTCCTTGTTAGCAACACATGTCTAGTCATTGCTCATGCCCCCAACTCCCACCCCCCCCCCCCCCCACACACACACAACAAAAGGAGAATACTGAATAGGGAACTACTTTTTTTTGTTTAGGTATAATAGTTTTATTAGTGATGGAAACAGAACACTATACAAGTGTAAATTCCGGTGATTTATATCTTTTCTAAATGACTAAGAGATCATAATTTCTTCACAAAATGGAACAATCAATTGGTAGTTGGCCGAGGAATCATTGACTTCGCTCCAAGTTATTTTTGTTGGTTTTGGTGCATTTAACATTACTCTTTGTCCTCTTACACTATTTCTGTTGAGTTGCTATTGATGTCCTTGTGTTGGTTCTTCTCCTTTGTAGTCTTCATTGGAGCCTGGTTATAATTTGCATACCAGATAAAGAAGATCAACTGGGGCCAATTTTACTTCACTTGGATTCATTAGGGCTTCACTGCAGCAAGTCCCTCTTTGCTACCATAAGAAAGTAAGCTGAACTCTGTTGTTGGCTGTTAAATAATGTGACATCCATGCTACAGAATTTATTTTTTGTAAATTGTAGTTTTGTGTCACGACTCTATTACACCCCCTAGTCGTGACATGGCGTACTCGACCTCGAAGAGGTCTTATACAAGCCTCATAGCATTCATAACATTTGATCATAAGGAAAAATGACAAGGAATTATAACTTTTCATTTAAAAACCCTTCACTTCAAGAACACGACATTTAAAATCATAGCGGAAGCCTACATCTCACATGGCCATCTAACCAAGACATGAAACCTAAAGATAGACATAACCTATTACAAATTAAATACAAGAGACATAACCTATTACAAATTAAATACAAGAAACTTCTAAATACTTGTCCTAGAATTAATGACGACATACACTTGGTCTTGGAGAACTCTTCCCAAGCCCTTGAATTTAGAGAACTCTATCTCTTGCCGAAACCTACACTTATAGTAAAAAGTAGAAGAAATATGGGTTAGCACAATCAAGTACTAAGTATGATGATCATGCAAAAACATGCTCAGAAAGGGATATTTCGTTTGAAAGACATGCGCATATGTCAATTTGGTAAAACTTTATGAATAAGAGCATATTAGGCATAATCTCCAAAACTAATAAACATACAAATCATATCTTCACATTGGGATATATTCAACATACAAGCTTTAGACAATACATATTCATAAGGAACATAAGCATTACATACTTCACATAAACACATTAAGAACATCCCCCAAGACAACTTTAACTCATACTTGTGCAATGTATAAGTAGCATTCCATAATACTACTCACACTAAGTATTCCTCAAAGCCACGCTAGACTAGGCACATTCATATTCATTGCGTCAAGACAAGGAAATAACTCGTAATACAACCCAAGCAAGATCTACACTATTACATGAAATACATAGTCAACATTCTGTATTAACTTATTTAAGGGTACGTCATTCATTCGACATTAAGTCAACATCCTTAATAGCATACTCATAAGACATAATAGCATAGCCACATAAGTAACCCTAGATTGCACTTGTGTCATGTGTAGATAAGGTCCCATAACCCTACCTACGCTAAGTATCATCTTTGGACTACCATGGTCATACCTATCATACATTAGTCTCATCCATAGTTCATACACATAGTAAAGAGACATTCGTAATCATGTTCATATTCATAATTCATAAACATACTTCATATTCATACCCCATACACATACTTAATATTCACAACACATAACATAATGCATATTCATAGTACATAAACATACCTAATATTCACAAAACATAAAATAATGCATATTCATAGTACATAAACATACTTAATATTCACAATGCATAACATAATGCATATTCATAGTACATAAACATAAGAGTAACACACCATGACTACTCTCAAAGTCCACTTGTGCAATGTATGAATGACATCCCATACTACCACTCATACTAAGTAAACCCTTTGAGGTACCATAGCATATAACTCACTTTCGTATTTATAATTCATATGCTTGTTCATTAGAGGGAATATAGACTTAACCGACGTAGACCAGGTAAGCTATATGGAAACCGATATCATATGACCCCACACTGAAAAAAGGCGTCCTACTTGCCTAAGACAGAACTAACATATTTAGCTTTAGGGTGGATCTACTAGCTAATACCCATGCAGGCACATAGTTATGGGATAGGGAGGTTGCTTCTAAAAACCCTGTCTAGCGGGAGAGTTTCCATCTCATGAGAGCATATGTAGAAGACCCGACCTAACTAGTGGGAGAGTCTGTACCTCATTTTCCATATCAGCTCGGTGCTAGCATTATTCCCAAACTTATACATTAATAGTATTTAGATTGTTTCTACATGTGTGACAGAATACTTTAGCCTTCATCAAATACAATTCATAACATAGCTCATTGATTCAATCAGGTGAGAACTACCTTTCACCTTTATAATCCTAATATACATGTGAGAAATCCTTTTACATACATTCATAGTGTTTTCATGAGAACTATCTTTCAATCAACACAATAGGATCACCATAATCATATTTATGCAAGTGTGTGTTTGATTGTCCCTAGTATGACAACAACAACAACAATATCGTCATAGACACTTCCCTCTCAAAGTGCTCATAAGCATATACATACTATCATAATCATGCATAATCTTCATATATTGCATTCAAGGATTTGTATACCATGCAACTCAACACACCCACATTCATTATACTAGACATGTACATAATAGTTATTCAATTAGTTCATTCATTCATTGCATGTGTATACTCATATAATCATAGTGCAAGTTATCTGGGTATAACCCTTCCACAATCGCACTACGTACAATTCAACATATACCATAATGTAAGCACCTCCACCATAAGTGGATCATTCCATTCATACTCGATAACTGAACACCTTCACCATAAGTGGATCACACATCAATCTATCACAATTCTATGTCATTAAGGATCAATCTCAACCCATATATTCAAGATACTACAAGAGTTTAGACAATTGACATCCTCCATCATCCACATAAGCAATTCAACATAAATTGATTCATAACTTCCCTTTTTAGGTCATGATCTTCATCTCACCAATACATCAATAATTCACCACAATAAGATATAACTAATGCCATGACTTCATAAACTAACTTCATATGAACAATTACTATTTCATCATACTTTCATAATTAACCAATTTCCAAAATAAAAGAGTCTAGGGAAAATCATGGGTTCTTGAAGGAATTCAATGCCAAATCAACTTATAATCATCAATTAAATCTTAATTCATCAATATAAATACTTTGAAAACGTTTTAGCATTGAACCCATGCTTAGATTAGAAAATAGGATTTTGATCTTTGAAAGACTTCGAAATTCTTTTTGATTGTACTCCTTGAAAGAAAGATTGATCAAGGATGAAGGATCACTATACATATATTAAAAAACCTTGAAGAAAATTGGTGAAGAAACTCTTTTGAAATCCCCAAATCCAAGCTTCCATGTCTTCTTCTTCTCCCTTGAGTTCAGAGAGAAAAATTGGAGGAAGATGAACTTTTTGATTTGAAGTGGGTCTTTGTGAAAGTTGTTTATTTTGGGGATATTTTAATATAAAATCCCTTATATAGTTAATTAGAAATAATATAAAATATATCCTCTTTCTAATTTAACTTAAAAATAATAATTTACGAAAACGCTCTTCCACATATGGACTTAGCCAAAAGAACCTAAGGAAATGTTTAAGGAGGCATTTAAGGTCCTTGTGGTTCACTAGCCTTGAACCCTCCCTTAAAATTATACTTTTTAGCCAAAATTTTGGACCTTTTTATATCTCTAATTTATACATAAACTTATAAGGTTCATACATTAGGCTCTAGTTCAACCTATTATTTTGCGAGTCGTTACATTTTGATTCGGAGTTGTTATAATTAATGACTGCAGCTACATCTTGTTTCTGATTTTCCATAACTACAATTGTCCTTGTAATAATGCATATGCCAGAACCCCTTGCCCGGGGGGGTCCAGTCGTTTGGGCTTGGGACTTCCATGTTGGAGGTTTCAAGTTCGAAACCCCTTGCCAGCCTAAGCAATGGGTTGGCCTTTCTGTGTCGAGCTCGTCGCACCAGTCTTGCCTAGTGTAGGTTACCTCTCTTGTGTAATTTGCAAGCGGGGGTTTTACCCTATGCGCACCCATAGGTTAGCGGCTGCGGGTTCACTTGTCATAAAAAAATGCCAGAACCATTTTGACATTATTTCTGAATGTAGGATTGTATAAGCTTTAACTTGACCATTCAAAATTTCTTGTGCTATATATGCTACAATTTAGAAATGATAACTAATTACAGCATGAATTGTAACAGCTTGAGAACTAAAGGGGCAGAAATTAGAGTTCTGTTATCATACTTAGCTGGACAGAAATGGGAACTTTATCAGGCTGATCAATTTGCATGGTAAAATTAGTGACACTTGGGAGGTTAGGAGGGAAAGACCCTAATACCAAATGGGAATTCTTGCATGGCTATATCCGTGCTAATTCATTTCCATGCAATATGCCTAAGGGAGAAAATTGTTTGCTGTTGAGATCTGGAATGCCTCAACAGAAAAGTCACTATTGCTTACTACTTTGTCTTGTTGAATAAGAACTTGACAGGGTTAAGAAGTCTGGTCTCTTTCAAGTTTTCGTACTTTGGTTATATATTTATTGTTTGGATGTTTTTGAATGCGGCGTTTTGATCATTTTACAGTGTTGTAGTTTCATAATCTGAATATTACAATCTTGAGGTTTACTCTGTTATAACCAATTTTCTCTTCAAACTCGCGGTAAGATAACATTTTTAACTGGAAGCTTCTTAAACCTGGAGACGTTTCCTGTAGATTTTTGGTAGAAGAATGGAAATTCTTAAGACAAGGAGAAGTGCTAGCTCTTCCTATTTCAGACAAAATATGGGAAAATCTTCCACGAAGAATTGATGAAAACATCATTCAGGTATTCTTTCATTTGCAACTTATGGCATGACGCAGTCTTTGGAATTCTTTTCATACCAGAAGCTATCTTGTCCAACCAGAAGCTATCTTGTCCATTCAAATACCTTGTGATACAGGGAGTTTGGTTTGGCTGACATCGGATGTGAGCTTTTGTTTTGGGAATTTGCTTGGAAAAATTACTTAAATACACAACTTATTTTACTATATTTTCTAAAATTTCCTACCAGTTTGAAAAAATTACAAAAATTCCTACTCTCTCATATTCTTGGATAAATCACTTTACATGATATATCGGGACGTATGAGATGTATCAGGACGTTGAGTGATGTATTCGAAATCGAGATGTGATGTATCGGAACGTTGAGAGATGTATCTAAAACCGGAACACGATGTATCGGAACATTTTGAAATGTATCTGGATTCAACCAAATTTAAGGGATTTTTGTAATTTGAAGTTGGATACATAACTTTATAAACCAAGATGCAACGTATCGGAACGTTGACAGATGTATCCAAAATCGGGACGTTTTGGGATATATCCGGATTCCACCAAATTTAAGGTATTTTGTAATTTGAAAAAGTAGGATAGGATGTAACTATCTTAATATATGGGACCATCTCATCGAGCACACTTTTATCATTTAATTGTATTCACAACAGTTGCTTTTCAGCTATTGATGTATATACCATTTGTTGATTGCGTGAAAAGAAGTGGCTTCTCTAGTAGTAGAAAACATCAATTGGGGTTGCTTAGTTTGATGATCATCTGTTTTATGGGCTTAGGCCGTCATAAAGTTCCAAATTTTCCATACTGGCTCTGTTTTTCCTTTTTTTTTCTTCTCTCTTTTTATGTTTTTTTCTTGGTTAGAAGGATATCCTAATAGAACTTATAATCAACTGGGGAGGGTGTCTAAAACATTGACTCACTTCTGGATATTCCGTTTGAGAAATTTATAGAACCTATAGAAGCAAACTTGTCTACATATATTGTGACTATGTCTGCAAGTTCACGGAAACAGCATTTCTTGAAATTTTCTGGTAACAGGTCCCACAACAAAGAAATGAGTATGACTGCGGTCTGTTTGTTCTTTTCTTTATGGAGCGTTTCATTGACGAAGTTCATAGAAGGCTTAAAAAGAAGGATTTGACCATGGTATAACTTTTGTTTTATTTATAGCTTTCTCCAATTTTTGGTTGTTGAACATTTGCATCAGTCATCGATTTAAAATGATCTTATTGTCAGTTTGGAAGAAGGTGGTTCAAACCTGCCGAAGCCTCTTGTTTGAGGATGAAAATCCGCAGAATACTCGAGGAAAAATTCAAGAATGTGAGTGAGAATGATTGATATTTTTGGGATTGGTACTGTGTACAGACAGGTAAATACTCTTGCTCAAAGAAATCCACTAGCAGTTTTTCAGCATAAACTAGGGTCATGACATGCCTGCTTGCCTTGCATAGCTGTAAAGTTGGATACTGTCGTCAGTCATACATCAACCATAAATAGGCAGAGGATATAGTAGAACTGATTGACCCATCCAATGGGAAGGAGAAATGCAGTAGACTTCCCTGGGAAATATATACATTGTCCAGAAATCATAATTGAACAATCACCAAGAGGAAAAAACAGAAGATTTGGGCGATGCATCGGTATTGACATCTGCTGAAGCAAGTAGCCCCTAAAACCAGAAGCTGCAGCCATGTCCATTTCAAAGATGGAAGGTATCTATGGATCACCAGTCCCCTCCCCCCTCTCTCGATTTGTGGCAGTTCTCCTTCTGCTAAAAACAGTTTCACATGTTTGCATTTAAGCGAACAAAATAAGTAAAGTGAAAGCTTTAGCTTAATGAAGAAACAACTTCTTTCCGTCCTTTTGGTTCAGGCTGCAGTTGTTACTGCTGCTTCCCGCTTGATAGTTTATTAAATGAGCCAATTCAGTTGGGATCTATAGAACTTGTCTTCATATTCAAAATTTGCTCTGAAATGATGTTTTCACCTCAAGAATTATTTGCAGAAGAAAAGATGGATGGGCTCTGCGCTTCCCAAACAAACCCTCCTAGACGTTGATTTATCTTGGATTATGTAAGAAAGTTATTTTTTTATGTAAGGTCAGAGATGGTCTGAAACCAATATTTGATTATCTAATAGATCTTTCAATTCTATAGGAGAGTGTTTTCGCTTATGTAACAATAATGTACTGATCTTCATATTTTCATATTTGGTTAGTCAAAAAATATTTTTTCTAGGATCATTGTCCCTCTCCATTCATCAAACGATTCCAGCCTCCACCCCTTGCTCATCCCACCTACAAACCCTCAATCCCCATCCCATCCCCGTAGTGTTTTGCTAGATAATGAATATTATTCAGATTTTGAGACGAAAGAACTCTTTTGCTATCATAATATCTAATATTTCGAAAAAATTTCATTGATTACCCATAGTCAGGAATAGAATAATTGAGGGAAAAATATTTGGATGATAAAAAAAAATGGACTGGCAAAGGATAAATTGGCTAGTTCTGAGTATTTAATTAAGAAATCCAATTGTTGGTCATTAAAGAATACAAAAGAAAGAAGGTTTCTCAAAGAATAATAAAATAAAATAAAATAAAATAAAATAATGGTCCTAAACCTATGTATACAAGCTTCTGTGACCAAAGTTAGGGCCCGTTTGGATGGGCTTAATAAAAGCAGCTTTAAAAAAGTACTTATGAAAGTGCTGAAATTTATTTTTAAAATAAGCAGTTATGCGTTTGGATAAAAGTGCTGAAGTTGTTATGCCAAACGTGAAAAGGAGAAAATGGAAGAAAGAGATGTTAGGGTTATATGTGTAATTTAGAAATTGTATAAAAATATTAAGGGCAAAAAGATAAAAATGTGGTCAACTTAAAACAGCTTATAAGCTAAAAAAAAAAGTACCTCTACCCCAACTTTTAACTTTTGACTTAAAATAAGTTTTTTTAACTTAAAATAAGTTATTTTGAGTATTGCCAAACAGTTAAATAAGTCAAAAATTAGCTTTTAAATCAGTTTGACCAGCTTTTAAGCTGAGCCAAACAGGCTCTTAGTCTATTGTACCTTATAATCCGTACGGTCTCAAAGAATAATAAAATAAAATAAAAGAATGGTCCTAAACCTATGTATACAAGCTTCTATGACCAAAGTTAGTTAGTCTATTGTACATTATAATCCGTTCGGTCTAATGAAAGTGAAAACAATCCATTTGTGCAACTTGAGATGTGTCAATGGCTTCTAACATGAGCATCACCTCCTTCATCTCTGGCCTCTCTTTTGGGTCTGCATGCCAACATTGCTTCATTATGTTGGCCACAATACTTGGACATTTGTTTGGTATTTCTGGCCTTAAGACTCTAAAATTTCAAGAAATATATTAGTGATTGATATTATTTTAACATTAGCTATAAAGAATATAACATAAAATTTGAAAAACATACCTTGTATTTACATGGACTTGTGTCAGAAGAAGGAATTTTCCATTATATGGAATAGAACAACAATATATCTCCCACAAGCAAATTCTAAAACTATAGACATCACATTTATGGTCATATGGTACACCAATAAGTACCTGCATATACAAAATAAGACAATAAAATTAGTATAAGTAATAAAGAATTCATTTTTTTCCTTCTAAATTAAAAAAATAAAATAAAATACAAGAATGAGATATGTCACCTCAGGAGCCATGTAATCGATGGTGCCAATTTGGGCAGTCATGTCAAGAGGACATGAAGCTTCAATTCTAGAAACTCCAAAATCAATTATTTTGACTCTTGCATCCTTGTCCATAATTAAATTACTAGTCTTTACATCTTTGTGAACAATTTTCTTGGAATGAAGGTAACTCAACCCTCTTGCAACATCTAATGCTATTTGAATAACAAAATTCAATGGCAATTTTTTGATATGATTTTTTAAGAGATGAGATCTGAGAGTGCCTCCAGGGACATATTCAACCACGATATCATATTCGAATGATCGTTGTTTTTTCAATGAACGATTTCTCAACCACGGAATGCGATTGGTAAGCTCATTAGTACATTTTTTTCATCCATGATTTACCACCTGTAGATTCGGATTCAACCAATTGGGGCAATCTTTTTGAAGCTCCAATTAACTAAAGAAAAAGGTTTTGACATATATATTTAAGTGTATGTAGTAAATTAAATGAAGTGAGAAAAAAAAACAAAATTAAATTGAATACATTTGCGATGTTTGGATGATGTAGGTTGTACCATATAGAAACTTTTTTAAGTGAAATCGTTTTTTGGTATATCCCTTCTTTGTTCATTGCCCAAATCCAGTATTTTTACTGAAACTTTATTAAAAATATTAAGTCAGAGAGAATGTATAAGAAAAAAAATATTATTAACCATTGGAAATGTATGAATTTCTATATATGAACATTACTGACGTGGAAGAATCAAATGGTATATTATAGGGTTTTTTAGTATATAGACTAATATTATTAGGGTTAATTGAAAGTTACAATTTTTTCATAATTTTTTCCTTTTTCATTAGTTAGATGGTAAAAATTAAATATTTGATAATTTTACAAACCTAACCCTAATAATATAGGATTAATTACATGAGTGGATTCCTTTTAAAAAATAATTACATATTTTGCTATACTCTTTAATAATTACCATTTGTAGGAATACTATATATTTTGTTAGAATTATCTCTGTCTATAGCCTTTTTATCCTTTTTCTCTCACATTTTTTGTCGCTCTTTCTCCTTTTCTTAGTTTCTACTTTTCTCTCTCCCTTATTTTCCTTTTGTTCTCTTTCATTCTTGCTTTGTTTCTATTAATCTTTCTCCCTTGCTTTCAGATATTTTTTTTCTTCTCCTTTGGTTGCTCTTTTTTTCTTTCTCTCTCTACTTTTTTCATAGAGTAGTCAATAATTTGTAGACTGAATAAAAGTTGTATCAATAATTAATTAGACAAGTAATTTAATTGTAAAAAATGAAGACACTTAATAAACTGCAAAATGAAATAAACTTAAATTTAAAATGTTGCAAAATGAATTAAACCTGAAATTATAATATGTAATGCACATATTAAAGTTGAATTAGAAGAGAATTAAATGTGAATGCAAAATGTAACAAATGAAAGAACATTCTATGATCTGTAAACTAAATAAAACTTGCATCAATAATGAACTAAACAAGTAATCCGATCATAACAAATCAACTAATAAACTGCCAAATAAATTAAACTTATATTAAAAGTGTAATACACAAATATTAAACTTGAATCAGACAAGAATCAAGTATGAATAAAAACATAACTTATGAAATAACATACATCGATCTATAAAGTGTATTAAACTTGTATCACTAATGAATTAAACAAATAATTTAGAAGTAACAAATCAACCAAATAAACTGCAAAATGAATTAAATTTGCATTAAAAGTGTATTACACAATATTAAAGTTGAATTAGAAGAGAGAAATAAGAATGAATGAAGAATACTAATGAAAGAACATAAAATGATCTAAGAGTGAATTAAACTTGTATTAATAATGAATTAAATTATTAATCCAACAATAACAAATCAACCAAATAAATTGCAAAATGAATTAAAGTAGCATTAAACGTGTATTACACAATATTAAAGTTGAATTAGAAAAGGGAATTAAGAACGAATGAAAACTGTAACTAACGAAAGACAAGACAATGATCTATAGACTGAATTAAACTTGTGTTATTCATGAATAAAACATGCACTATATGTGCTTATAAATTATTTTGGTTTTTATCCCTAAGAACGTAAGTGATGTTTGCAATATGTATCAAAAATGTATTGTTCATGATTTTAATGCAATTTTAATACAATTATAAAACATATTTAATTCAACTTTAACACAATTGTGATACAGTTCCATAAACTTTACTTTTTTCAAGTTTCAATCTTGTATTTCTCCTAAAATCAATCATAAACTTAACCGAACTCTCTAAAATTGAGATATAAACTTCAAACTGCATTTTCAATTATTTGTAGAATCAACCTATCCAAACTAATCACGAGTTCGTAAGATTCATAAAATGAATTCAAAATTTGAAGCTTTATAAACGACCATCAATGGTGAATTCTTGTTGCTGTAATTTTAGAGATTTCAACATTCTGTTTGAAAACATAATATTGTACAAATTTTTTATTTTTTCATTTCTCTTTCTCGTTATGTTTTTAGGTAAAAATAGTGAAACAGAAACACAAATTGGTTTGAGAATAATTATTCAAAAGAAAAGCTTAAAAGAAAAAGAAGAATAAAGAAGAAAAAAAGAGGAGGAAGAGAAAGAATAAAAAGAGACGACGAAGAAGAAAAATAAAAACAAGAAGATGGGGAAGAGAAAAATGACCGAGAAAGAAAGCGGTACAATTTTTTCATTCAAAAAAAGTTATATTTAGTTAAAAAAAATTTATTGACATAGATGATAAATATTTTCTTAATATAACATATTTATGTGATTTACCCAATAATATATATATAGGGTTTAGCTAGTATAAGAAAAAAAAGTAGCTACATTATTAATTAGGTTTGGGAAAATTACGTAGAACGGCAAACATCCCTAAGTAATTAGTCAATAAGAGTATAGTTTAATTTATTTACTCTCAATAAATATAGTTTTATTTTTTAGCCATAATTAATGGACCCACCACCTCTTTGTATACCCAACCATAAAAGATTTTTTTATCTTTTTATATATAATTTTATCTCTCGTATACTCATTCCATATCTTTCTCCTAAAATCACTCCTCCACTCCTACTTTAATTTTTGAATTTTAGAAAATTTCACGATATCCTGTTGTGTTACTTTCATTAATTCAATTTTTTTTAAAAAAAATTTTCCTTCATCAACATAATTATATATGTATATGTTTCTTAGTTTTTTCATATTTTTTTTAAAAATTATTTATTTCTTATGAGTTTAAAGTTCTTCAAAATAAGAATACCTGATTGATCTCCATATATGAGGATTAACAGAGGTATGTCATTGCATGTCAATATTGTTAATAATCCACTTTCGTTTTCAATTGGGTTATCTCAGGATTTTGAAGTCAATGTAGGGTATATGACAAAACATAAACAAGTTCAAGTTGAACAATCTCTTGAATAGAGATTCAAGAAAAAAAATGACCCAACGACAATTCAGAAAGTCATCAACAACACCAAATCTAGCGGCATTAAGATTGTTGAAGGTTGAAGCAAGAGAAAAGACAGAAACATAATTTAAGACGAGATTGGATCTCTATCATCAAAACTGGATAGAACTAGAGAAATCTGAAGAACATCAGGTAGTGTAATTTATATACAAGTTACTAATGTTATGTATATAGTGAGTTGTGTATTAAAGTAATATATACAAAGTATTATGAGACAATTGTTATTTGTATACAAATATTTAGTTTTGTATCAAAGAAATTTGTTAATTATTGTATAATACATATATAAAATTATAGTATATTATACAAATCCGTCCATATATACAAAAAATTATGAACATGATAAAATATTGTATATATAAACATTACACACTAAATACACAAACATATTTCAAGCTTACCATATATACAATTGACAAATGAATATTATACAATCATTTTAACCATTAATTTTTTTAAAATAAAATATGAAATTACATATGCACATATATAAAGATAATCCATATTACCAAATTATTGTATATTATACAAATCCGTAGATATATACTATAAAAAAATGAACATAATAAAATATTGTATACAAATAGACTACAGAAGATAGTTAAGAACAAATACAACACATTTTTAAAACATGATTGTCATATATACAATTTTCATATTATGATGATCACATATACATTTAATAATACATAATAAATTACAAACGAAATTGTATAAAAAAAATATTTACAATTTCTCAAATATATACAATATAATCAATGTATATATATACAAATAAAATCATTAATGTCTAAGAGTTTCATACGACTTATTTTTAAACAAAATTGAAAAAATATTTGATTTCGAATAGTTAGCTTTAATAATGGAATTGTGTAAATGTTTGTTACCTTATTTAGTGATATTGTTACCATTTAATAAAAAAGTAAATTATTAAAATAAATTAAAAACAAAAAAAATGTTTTATACAAATTAAAAGATGCATAACAAACTAAACTATACCATTGAATGTAATTATGTAAACTACACCCATATAATGTTATTTAATAAATTATGTTTGTTATATATGAAATTTTCCCGGTAGTTAGCTAATATAAGAAAAAAGATTAATGGTAGAAATTAGTGATAATATATAGAAATTAGTGATAATATATGCCTGCAACTTGTTGTTCATTATAAACACCTTTGTAAAAGGATCCGTATGAGTAATAAGATTGTTGATGTTAATTTTAAGTTTCATAGAATCCAATTCACATTCTTGTTTCTTCGTCACTTCCAATTTTTTGGACAAGTCGTTACAACCTTACTAAATAGTTTATCTAAGTACCTTCCATTCTTTTCAAATCTGTCTTTGATACACACTTGATTTTGCCATTGAACAATACAAAAAAGAAAACGAATATTCTTTTTAGTAATGTGTTATAGCCTATATTTATAGGTTTTGAAATTAATTTTGAAAAGGATTAGGAAAAGGAAACTTGTGGAAAATAAACTTGGATATTTTCTAATTATAATAGTATTTGGTTTAAACAATTAACGTAGAGGTTTTCTAATCAAATTAAACATT